TTGTAACTTAAAATGTAACTAAGTTACCTACTATAACTGTAACCTATATTCAGTTACAAATTACAAATATCTTGTTTTTTCATTTTTTGTACAATAATATTTTTGTGTAACATGTAACTTATAAGTATCAAGTATGTAACCTGCAAATAGGTAAGTAACTTGGTAGGTATTGTAAAATGAGGTGAATTGCCAACCATTAAAAAATAATTGTTTATTATTGTTGACTAATATTCAATTTTAGTATTATTGTTTTGATAAAATAAAGRTTTTAATTAATTACTTCAATTAATCAATTGTATAATATAAGCAGTAGGTGAATTGGAAAATAAATGAAGTTGAGCAATAAATTTGTCTTAATATTAACCCTATTTCTTTGATGAATATAATAAATGGGTATGCCAGGTATGCTATAATATGAAGAAAAATTAAGAGTAACTCAGTCCCCTTGCGTTCTCCCCCAATTCAACCACTGAATATAAGTAAAAGCGATCTTGAAATRTTTCATGATTAAATGATTTTATAGTTTTACACKTATAATAAACCATAGCTCTCCACAGCTTTTCTGTTAAAAAATYCATSATTCTTCTTAAATATTTCTTCGATACCTACCTAAAATATGTGATTAGATGATGCATAATAYACTGCCAAAAGTTGTAATGCAAATACAGTTAGTAAGTACCTACCTATATATAATACATATAATTATTAACGACTAATTAATATGTTGATAATAATACGTGAGTACCTACCTGATAAAATATTAAAATAGGACATACCTATAATATGATTGTTACAATATCCCAAGTCACCGGCAGTACTGTGCTTTCACTAAATTATCTATTTAAAATATCTAAATGATATACCTACCATATTATGGTGTGTATTATAGTAAAAAGTAACCAACATTTACCGACAATATATCTGTATATGTATACGACTAAATTATTTACAATCGCAGTATATGGACTGATGTCCAGTGTCCACCGATGTGCATCACATTCCATATATAAAAATAAATATTTAAATGATTAGGATTTAACTATGATTTGTCGTTGGAATAATTTTCTTAAATGTCACGAGGGTCGCGATAGACGTTTGCATAATTATATTATGGTGACACATTTTAATTTTTCTCTTTCGATTTACCTTGTAGTTAGGTAGTTTKTTGTTTGTACAACAATTGAACAATACGAATAATCAAATATAGATACAATATTATACCTATATGTGGATTWTAAAAATATAGGATCTATGTTACTGCTTTAACATCTATTTATTCAGCCATAACCTATCACTCTTATATAGTCTTATTGCGTATAAGCAGTGTTGGATAAATATTACTTTTAAAAAGTAATAAAGTTACTTTACTCATTACCTAGTCATTACTTAGAGAGAAATGTAATAAAGTTACTTTATTCATTACTCTAATAAAATTGTAATGAAATTTCTTTACTTTTCAAATTGAAAAGTAACTCATTACTTTCTCGTTACAAAAAAAATACATATTTTTTTTTATATTTCTTAACAATATTATCATTGATCATTGTGCCTGGCAATAATGTTACTAGAAATACATTACCTATATAGACTATAGTAAATAGATATAATTCGAAAAAGAAATCAATATAATACAATATTATTATTTTATATTTATTAATGTTTTAAATTAACTTTACACAATAGTGTATCTTCAAAATTGTTGTCACTCATACGCGACCTTTTTTTAGAACAAATGTCTCCTGAAACACTAAATAATCGCTCTACAGAAGCACTGGATGGTTAAGCTGTGTTGTATTTAATACAATTATTCTTTACTAATGTCATTGAATTCAAAATTGTGAGATCAGCTGTATAAGGAGCTTAATAAATATATATAGTATATTAATATACTAGATTGGTAAACATAATAATACCCGCATTATAGACATTTTTTTTTCAATTCGCAAAAGGTAGGTACTTAATAATTCGAAACTGTAACCCGATATTCAATAGAAATTACTTATCAAAAGTAATTTCCATAACATTTTCGTTACTTGGAAATAATTCTAATGAAATTACGTAACGCGTTACAAGCAAAGTAACGCCGTTACTTTCGTTACGTTACTACCCAACTCTGCGTATAAGTAGGTAGTATACTAACATACTATTGTGAATAATTCACATCACTGTAATGTTGTAATATAAACAGTTATTTTAAATTTTATTTATACATCCATTCCACGATTCCAGACAAACTTGTAAGTTATTGATGACTAGGCTGAGGGACTTATAGCTCTAAAAAAATATACAAATATGCTTCTAAAATCATTAAAATATGCATTTATATGCAATAAAAAAAAAATGTTCACTAAATCTTGGTTAATTTCACTTTTTACTTTAAAAAGTTATTAGTTAAAATTTAYWTCTTATAAATATACATCAAACAATAAGTAAAAATTATTAATCAAAGATACAACTTTTATTATTGAATATGCACCAACTAAATTTGAAAAAAAATTAAATATTTACCTTAAAATTTTGAAAAATTAAACCGA